ATTTCAGAAAGTGCAAATTGGCCCTTTCCCTTCCTTGGCATAATAACAACTTTCCTTGCACTAAACCATCTCTGACAGGCGTTTAACCAGCCTTTCCTCACAAATCTCCAGAAAAGAAAATATCGCAACTTAGCATTTATTTATTTATTTCCCAACCTAAAGGTGTGTCCACTATATTGAAATGCTGTTGGAACTGTGCACAGTAGGGTCAGAAGCAGCATCCACAACTAGGTGACCTACTAGTATCTAGAGTTCCTCATAAGCACATTTTTCATATTATTCTAGATGTAAAATATCTAGCCCCTACCAGAGGGACAGATGAAGACTGTGTTTTTCTGTCTCCAATTTCTGTAAGTCCTTTTTGAAACAAATGAGTTTTGTTCATAAATCGAAGCGTGACCTTTTTCCAACCTACCTATCCCTTTTCCTTTTCTTCTTCAGGTGCATAGGTATCTAAAGGCATGTTATACTGCAATTCCTCCTGGCTTCCAGTCACTCAAGATGACTGAAATGGTTTGCTGGGTGTCAATCTAGCTTCCATATGCATGTTGGAATCTTCAAAAAGGTCCTCAGTAAATCTTCAACGCTTTCTGGGAGGAAATGTCCTCTGAGATCATGGGGACCCAGATGGTTTAAGGGTTTAAAGGTCAAAAGTAGCATCTTAAATTAGGTCCTGAAATTACTTGGCAGCCAATACAGTTGTCTTACGATAGCTGATGTATAAGAATATCAGGCTGAGTTGATCAAAACCAGTGTGTCCCAAACCTCCACAAGAACATAGAATACACTTATAGGAATCTTGAATGCTTAGCCATTGTCTTTAGACAGACCTAGACTTACTTCAGCTTCAGTCCTAGATTATGAAGCAACCTCCAATAGTACATGAAACAACATTTTAGCCATCTGTCTGTCTTTCCATCTGCCTGAGGATCCACCATTACCACCACCTCCATCATCAACAGACTTGCCAGTAGACGTTTGCCCAGGACTTTAAAAATGTTAAGTCTTCTATAACCATGGTTCAAACTGCCCTTTTACGTGCAGAGAGGCATGCTGGTAAAATCTTTGTGCTTCACTGCAATGATACGTTGCAGACACATTACTTGAACATCACTGAGAGGAGTATCAGATTTGTTGAGGAACTTCCCCAACAGCTGGAAAGCTGAAATTTGGCTCACACATAGTCCAAGAAACCCTGATTAAGCAGTTCTGAAAACACGGCATTTTTATGTCTACAAGCTGAAATGCACAACAGTTTTTAGCTCATAATAACAGCCGGCCCTCCAACACGGAGCAAGTCAAGCCATACATGGGGCTGAATGCTGGGCTGCAGGAGTTCCAAAACAGCCTCGGATTGGGAGGAAAGAAATTTGCAGTGGCAGGCAGGAATGCAAGCCTGAAAACGGGACAACCCATACATGTCATATAATGCAACAGTGTGACACTTCCCCCTTCACTTGCTTTAACAATCTTGGCACTGGGAGAGAAATAATTCCCAGGGAGAGCCAGGAATATATCTCAACTAGCAGAACACAAGCTGTGTGCCTCCATCGTACAGACAGATGACACAAAACAGGGAAATACCCACATGTGCTTGTTTGAAATAGACATCTAGTCCTGATTTCATTGTATAGCTCAGAATGAGTTTTTATGTATACTTGGATCTAACAATGTGTACGATCTGTCAATTTGCAAGCTTAGAAAGACCATCACTAACAGGCTGCAAAGTTCCCCCCAAAGTGAGCTGGCTCTTGAAAACAATGGCTAAGAGCAGGGGTCAGCAAGGTTTACCTCGCCTGGACCGGTTCACTCCAGTGGAGATCCCTCTGTGGGCTGGATTGCGATTTCTAGCATCTGCGTCTCTGCAGACGCGATTTCCGGCACAGTGGAAGCAAGTTCCCGTGCCATGCTGTGCCTGTCGTTTAGCACAGTGCGCAAGGGCTCACCAAGTGGGTGGCTCAGTTTGGGGGCAGCTTGTGGGCCAGTTAAATGACCCCCATGGGCCGCTTGTGGCCCATGGGCCTTAGGTTGCCGACCCCTGGCTAAGAGCAACAAATCTCTACTGGTTCTTTGAACTTTTGCACAAGATTAAGCACATGAGTTAGGAATTTAAGCCTAGTAGTGGGTTCAGCGGCTTGCTGTTTCCTAAAGGGAGTCAGTGCATAATTCCTTTTCTTTCCTGACTGTTTCCTTTTTTCTTGCTCATCTCAGCCAATGCTGCCAGTGCTGGACTTCAGCAGCAGCACCACCACCATGGGTCGCTGTTCTCCTCACCTGGACAGGGTGCTTCTAAATATCTTGTCCTTTGCACCTGAAACATTATTTGCATTGGTAAGTACTTGATTACTGTATTTACCTAAGTCAACCAGAGTGCATCTTGATTATCTCTGCTGCTTCTTCCCCCTCCCTATCCATTTCACGCAGGTTGGGAAAGGGTCACATCGTCTGATCCAACTTTCTATTTACTTTATTAGCAGAAAAGGGAGAGGTTTATATACACACAATTAGAGCAAATAGAGTTGTTCCGCTGGATCCTGTTTCAGTAGCATTTAGTCACATATTATATTGCTTAGGAGGCACCTTAAAGGAAATCTTTTTTTTCCCTGTAGGAAAATTAATGGATTTCATGGAGACAGGGGTTGTTGTTTTTTTACAGCAAACATACAAACACAACCATTGTTCTTTATTATTAATCATGATAATATGGTTTTGAGCACAAAACACTTTAACATTCCTTTATGTCTGTGGGAGGGTGTGTGGAATACCTGCTAGTCCCATTTTACAGGTGGCAAAACGAGCCTGGAAGCAAATGAAATAATTAGGAGAATCTGGTGAGTCCACATTGAGGTGGCGTTGCATATTTCATTTCGTTGAAGAACTGTAATCCTGGGTGAATGTTTAACTGTACAGGTGAATAGACCATTCATGTACGCAGTTTTCTTTTAAAAAAAGCTTGCCACTGTCTAATAGTTCCAGTGACTGTAAGCTAGTTCTGAGCAAGTCACCTGTTCAGATTCAAAACTAGTACTTGATTTGACATCCACCTCACACCTTGAGTGTACACCATATGTAGCCATGATTTACACGATCACATTTAAAGGACCCATGCATGTCTGTACACACACACAGAGCAATGACTGTGGTTGCCCAATACAAACTACAGCTGATATGAAATAGGACTAGGCTTGGGAAGAGCTCATTGGGTGACCTTAAGCCGTTCAGCCTCTCTCACTTTAACTTATTTTGTAGGGTTCTTCTGAAGGTAAAAATGGGGGGGGAGAGAGTTACATATTCCATACCCTTCAGCCAGCTTAATTCACTTGTAATCAAGTCAATAAACAAGGCCAGCCTTTTTATACTGTTTCATTCCGTTTATGTTTGTGTTTTATGGTTTTATTGTGTTTTAAAACTGTCTTAAAATTTTGTGGTGTTTTGAATTTCAACTTTAAAAACTGGGTTTTCTATTGGCATCCTATGCCATGACTGCTGCTTTGCGAGATTCTCCTAAAAAGTAGAGTATAAATAAATGCTTGTGAGAGAAGTGAAGATTTTCATATACCGTAGTTTAGTCAGCATGTGTCCCAAACTATGAGGTGCTAGTTTTCTCAGGTCTTGCATCTGTGGTGCCATCGTGCCAAAGCATTGGGCCTAAACCATTATATATTACTACTACTACTACTATTACTATTCATGGAATTTCTACGCCACCCTTCATCCAAAGATAGTGCTTAATTTTTTAGAAAAGAAAATGCGTGTCGGGTTTCAAAGTCCTTTAACCTCTTCTTTTTACCATTAGGTTGTGTGGACAGGTGTGTGGGTCGAGGACAACACGAAATAATTGGGAGCCTGAGGCAAAAAATAATAATAGCCATCCAAATGGTACCCTGAGGAGGCAGGAGGGCAATACCAATGAAGGAATTGCTATCTTCTAATAGTACCCTATTGTCTGAGGCTGGCCTGCTGTGATTTGAAGAGAGATAGGCACTCTGCAAATGCTCTGAAGCACTTTGGTTGATTATTACTTCACTTGTTTCTGGATTATTGTCATATGTTTCCAACTGATCGCAGCCACTCAACACAACTGCTGGGGTTTGTGTGCCCTGCTTGGGGATTCCCAGAACCAAGCCCAGTCTGGCCTGTCACTTCTGAAGATGGGCCAGCAGGGTCCCTTGGTGGCAGGGGGTGCCAACTTGAATAAAATACTGGGGTGAGGGGGGCAGGTAAGCCCCACCCCACATAATTGATCCATGAAACTTTGCACAAATGCCATTGAAATGGCAACGCCCATCAACTGGGGGTGGGTGGGCGGTGGCCCCCTCAAATATTTGGGGGGGCCTGAAGGGACCTCTGCCCCTAGGAGTTGGCTCCTCTGCTTGGGAGAATCCAGTCAGAACTGTCTCCTGCGACATTATAAGTGGCAAAGGCTCTCTCGCGTGGGGTCCTCGTCCCATCCGTCGGCCGTGAGGGACCCCCAACCCCACATCCGCCCGCCTTACAGCTCCTGCCACAAGTAGGGGGAGGAAGGAAGGATGGGAAAGTCTCTCTTCTTCTCTCCGACGAGTGGGAACGGCATCGATCTCCCGCTTCTCGCTCGGGAAGATTAGATAATGTAAACCAAACCCCGGCTCCTCGTCTTCGCACCCCGCCCTTTCCCGCCCCACCGAACGCCAAGCGCGCCAGGCCGGGGCGAGCGGCCAAGCCCACGAGCCGCTGCTGGTAATCCCCCCCTCAGCTGGCGGGCAGTGATGCCAGAGAGATGCAGCCCGCCGGGCGGGCCGAGACGAGAAGTGCGCGAGGGAGGCTGCGCGCCCCGAGGAAACGGCGGGAAGCGAGCGAGCGGGCCGGGGTGGGGGTGGGGGGTGGGGAAGGGGGGCGAAATGAATATTTCAGGCGGAGTTTCTAATTAAAGAAACTCGGGCTGCTGGACCCCCCCCCCTTTCCTTCCTTCCCTCCCTCCCCCCCCTTGAGCCGGGGCTGCTCGTTTTACGTCTGCGGGGAGGCAGCATAAGAAGGGACCGGGGCGGGGGAGCCGTGAGGGGAGAACTTCAGTGGCTGCGAGGCGACTCGAGGGGCTGCAGCAGAGCGGGACTTGGGGGAGAGCCGGCCGTCCACCCACTTGCAAGTCGATACCGTCTGAGGCGGCGGCGGCGGCGGCGGCCACCTCGCGGATACCCTATATAAGCCTCTATAAAAGCGCGGACATGGAGTAGGTGGCGGGAGAGCGGACGGCGTGCGCGCCGGGGAAAGGAGACAGAGCGCGGCGAGAGAAGCGAGGCTCCGGCCGGCGAGGGAGGGAGCCCCGTCGCACACACCGCCTCAAAGGGCGAACGGAGGCAGGTAATGCTCCCGAGAGCGCAAGGAGCAGGAGACGACAGGGCGCACACGCCCGGACGGCGGGATCCACCGCGCGCCTCTCGCCCAATTCAGCCGCTCTCTGGCCAGAGGCGGTGGCGCACTTGCGCTTGGGCAGCTCCGGAAGGTGTCGCTCGACTGGCTCGACTCGCCGGCACGGCCAGCCGATTCACTTGCTGAGCGGCGAGTGAAGCGAGGGGAGGGAGCCCGAGGCACCAAGCCGCCGCCCGGCAAGGAGGAGGGTCAAGCTGAGAGGGCTGTGGCACTGGCGCCCCGCTCGCCCCGTTTGCCTCCCGAGTCTTTCTCGCGGGTGGGGAAGGGAGGAGGAAGAGGAGAAGCCGAGAGCAGCCGCCGCGCTTGGAACGGAGAGAAAGTCCTAGCCAAAGTTAAAGCGCTTCGTTGAAATCGCCTTGATTTCAACGGGTGGAATCTCGGCTCTTCTCTTCGCGAAATCGACGGGGCTGAGAAGTGCAGTGACAGCTCTGGCTGGACCGAGCCGCCTTTTTCGAATGAATGGGTCGCTCTCAGCCAGCCAGATGTTCATACCTCTCTCTCGCTCTCTCCACGCCGGACTTGCTCAGCCTGGTGCCTCCCAGATGCGCTGGCTGCGGAGAGTCGCAGACCTCAGACATCTGGGAGGCTCCAGGCTAGCGAAGGCTGCTCTTCCTCGAGCATCCGCAAGCCACGTGGAGGAGGAGGAGGAAGGCGCGCCGGACATGGAAGGACCGAAGGGGCAGGCGCTTCCCAGACCCGCCGATGTGCCTGCGTAGGGTTTGGCGTCCGTGGGGAGAGGGGGTTTAGGCTTGGGGACCTGCGGCCCTCCGGATGTTGCACTCCAGCTCCTATTAGCCCCAGCTAAGGGATGATGGGTCGAGGGTTCAGCAACATCTGGAGGACCACAAGTTCCCACTCCGCTGAACCAGAGCATCAGAGCCTGCGCGCGTCACTTTGGATTCTCTGTGTGTGCCCTCGAATGTAAGCATGTAACCACTTGATAAATTACTTGCCGAGCGAAGACGGGAAACCCCGCCACATTTCCTCATCAGATTACAAATTAGGGGGAGCAAAAAAAGCGGCCAAGTTCTTCTCGGATCAAGGCAGCCTGCTGGCTAGCCAAGCGCTTAGACTTGAAAGACAGCGTCACTTGCGCGCCCCCCACCCCCTTGCAGAATGCCGTGAAAGCTTGCCAAACTTTTCCAGGCAAGACTCTATTTACCTGCCTGGCATTTTGCACTAGCTTCTTGCGTTCCCCCTCCCTCAGCCTGCCTCTCCTTACGCAAAAACAGGTTTCCAGGTTTCCAAAAGGAAAAGAGGAGGGTGAAAGGGGCGCGCGGAATCCCTCAGGTCCTTTGCTTCCCTTAGAGTTTGCTTTTCATATAAAGCCACGTCGATCTCCAATAGGAAGCGGTGGGGGGGGGTCAAGCAAGGCTGTGGGGCAGGCTGCTGAGTTGGGAGAGGCGGGTTGCCTTTGGTGCGAGGCGGGCGGCCCCAGTTGCTGGACTTCATCTTCCATCACGCCCTGACCATTGGACATGCTGTCTGTGACTGATGGGAGTTGGAATCCGACGGCATCTCGAGGGTCCTCATCCCTGGTGTAAAGGCTCCGGAGTAAAGTGCCACCACTCGGTGGCACTGCCTCTGGCTGAGAAGCATTGATTCCCACTCTTGGGGCTTCCCAGTTAAGCGAGAGGGGTGAGTAAGCCCTTCCCTTCGTGCAAGGCTCCCTCGCGTGCCAAACAAGCAAGGAGGAGTTTCATCGCTGGCGCTCAGGTCTTGTTTTGGAAGCCGTGCGCTCAGAAGGGTGTCTTCTGCCAAGCTGATCTGAGCACTCCAGAAAGCAGCTCCTCTGCAAATAAACCTCTCCTAGCCCTCTGCTGCTTGTGGACTCAATGAGGGATAGGGCCATGCTTCTTCCTTGTTTTCTAAGCGAAAAGTTTCTTGATTGATTGATCTCCAGGTCCCACCCACTGCTTTTAAAACCAAAACAAAACCCAAACACCATGTGTTAAAAGTATTCGATATCCATCTTCCTGTCCTAAGCAAGCGCTCTTTAACTCCGTGGCACCAAGAGCAAGGGCAGTGAATTCAGGACCAAGCGAGTGAGACGCGAATGACGCTGGGGAATTCAATTGCCTTCTTCTTGCTACTAGATCCTACTTGGCTAAAGAGCAGAGAGAGCTGCCAGCTGATTATCTAGGTCCTCCCCCTCTTTTAAGTAAAAGAGAGAGAGGGAGAGAAGGCAGAGGTTAGAAAATCTGGGCACTCTCAACTTGAAGGGATAATAATTGCGTTAACTTGCCGCTCACTGTTCGCGTTGATGTGACACCTGGCAGTGACACTTATCTCCCCTCCACAGCTGGTTTCAGGGAGTGGACTCGGAAAGTGGCTCCATCTATCCCTCGTTTGACCTCGGAAGCGCCATGGGCAGATTCCTGAGATCCCCTGCGTTGGTGGGGCTGGTGCTGGCGATGCTTTCAGCGGGACATTGCGAAGAGAGACCCGAATCTAGCGCAGGGCTGAAGGAAAGGCAGAACCTCTTAAACCTGATCATGGAGATCATTCAGGAACTGAAAAAATACCACCTGGAGGAGGACGAGGAGAACGGGGTTCAGTACAAACAAGACTATCTTTTGGACCGGAGAAGGGAAGTAGTACCCGATTATGGATCTTACTCAGAAGAACAGAGAGTTGGTAAGTCAAATAATACTACATTGTGTTAGAGGAGACACTGCAACCTGTTACGTTCATTTTTCTTTTTGCGTTAAACTTTAGAAAACGGAGAGCTCGGTCATCAAGCTGCTAGTTTGCATCTGAGAAATCTCGGGGATTGGGGGGAGGCTTGCAAATTGCTCCAGTCCTTAATTGTGCAGCGGATTCCTCAATAACCGCTCTGAAGGGAAACGCCAGACTAGCAAAGCTCCCCTCGCGTTGAACGAGGAATAACCATGCTACGCCCTCCTTCAGCGATCGATGGCGCTGAAGAGCAAATTAATATGTTGAAATCCGAGAAGCATCATCTAAAGGAGATCACTTTGCGATGTGTGTGCTCCGAGGCTCGCTAACAGTTCCTTGTCTGTTACTCTAGTCTAGTCAATTGCAAATCTGAAACTCTGTTTCTTTTTAAAAGTTTTCCATAGTTCGAGGGTTCCCGCCCCAATAGACTGGTTTGCATCAGCATAAGGCAACTTCGTGTGCAAATCTACAATTGATTACTGCTAGTCACTCGGATATCTCCCACAGGTTTTCTGCTTCTTGAAAGTTTCTTTTTTTCTAGATTTTATTTTGAAGGTTAAGCAAATTTAAATTGCATTGATTTTAATAGATGAGTGAAGTAGTTATACAGTTCTGTATAAGGGGCCTGAAAAGCACAGGGCTGTGACAATATACTGATGAGGAGAAATTTACAAAGAAACAGGAAAAATATAATTACAAGTGCAAACTTTTGTACAGTGGTACCTCAGGTTAAGTACTTAATTCATTCCGGAGGTCCGTACTTAACCTGAAACTGTTCTTAACCTGAAGCACCAGTTTAGCTAATGGGGCCTCCTGCTGCTGCCGTGTTGCCGGCGCACGATTTATGTTCTCATCCTGAAGCAAAGTTCTTAACCCGAGGTCATATTTCTGGGTTAGCGGAGTCTGTAACCTGAAGTGTGTGTAACCTGAAGCGTATGTAACCCGAGGTACCACTGTATTGAAGAATGTTCTAAACAGTTGGCTGCAGGCGAGTTTTTGGTTGACACCTGGAAACCTCCCTTAGCAACTAAATTTCATTGGTTGAATGAATATTATTCAGTTTCTCATATGGAATGTGTTTTTTTTAAGTTATCTGAAGAAGATCTTTGAAGCAGGTCTGCTATCAGCTGTTTAGAGCAGTCTTCAGTACAACAATGTTTGAGCTATGCTATTGTTTGCAAGCTTGGCGGAAATGAACACTTTGCAACTGGAATGATATTTTGTCATTTTCTGTAAACTTATTAAGGCTACTTGTAGTCATACCTTGAAAGAGTAGCATGGCAGGTTTTTCAGCTGCAATGCAAGCTTTACTCCACTCCTCATGCTTTATCAACCAGAAAACAACCTCCAGCTTGCAAGAGGTTGAGACAGCCAACATTTTTTTTTAGTCCCCTCTAGGTATCCAACTTGTTTATTTGCTGTGGTTGTACATTGTTTAACTTTGAAATCTGCTCAGATAGGGGAGATAGCTTTGTGACTGGCACAAGGGCGAACCAATCAGCATAGCACATAGTCCAGCCCTTAAGAGGGAGGTGCTTCATGACTGATACAAGGGCCAGCCCATCAGAGCTGTCCAAAACTTATTTCAGCTCCAAACCAGAGCAGCAGCTATCCCGCCCCAATTCTCCAAACAAGGCTGTGTATATACATAAGGTATGCAGAAAATGTGGCAGCATACTCATTGCTGAAATGTAAGCAGTTCTCTCTCTTTCCTGCTACTCTTCAGAAATCATTGGGGTTTGATAGTGCTTGTACTGGCTGGGTTTGTCTCTGTTATGTATTGAGAAATGCAATAATTATATTTCTATGCCTGTGTTTTTGACACCATAAACATGTTTCTGGAAAGAAGTCTTACCAATGGCAAATTTTCAGTTTAAGAACTGTCTGTTTCCTGGACCAGAAATCAGAACTAGTTGCAGACTAAAAAATTAGCCAATTTTAGTCGTGCTTATATCACTGGAACTTTAATTCTTTAAAATCATACTATTTGGCTTAACTGGCCATTAGTTACTCTGAAACAGCATTTCTTTGTTGGGGTTTAATTCTGCTGTAAATTATTTCAGAAATTTGGCTTTAGACAATTAGACTACAATTCTGTGTGTACTTTCCTGGGGGTAAGCGCCATTGAATTCACAGGATTGCACTGTCAAATCTTACATATAAGAATAAAAGATTTGCAGACTACACTTGCAAGTCCCTTGAAAATGGGAATTTAGGCTTATCATAAATACTTGCCAATTAGAGCAAATATAGTTGATCTGCTGGATCCTGTTTGCTTAGGAGGCACCTTAGAGGAATGGGGAAGATTTAGACCACACTCCATGGGTGGCACTGAATTGCTCCCCCTCTGCAAGTAAATGGCTATAAAGCACAACAGGAAAAGAAAAGGGGAGATTACAAAAGGCTGAAAAAAGTTATGTACTGAAAAACACCCAAAGTTCTGATGCATCTAGAACTTGGGAGGTTTTCCTTGAAAGAGTAATTGTTGTTGACAAAGTGAGAGTTCCTACAGAGAGTTCTCACTAAACACAGTACTCAAGTACACCATTGCTATTGAGCAGTGGGCGCTAAAATTTTCAGAAAGTGAAATTTCACTTGCAAGGGTTCCACATGCCTGTGTAGATTCAATCTATCTGTAGTTATTCTAATAAGATGCAGATCCTCCCTCCCGCTCCTGTCAGCCACTATAATATGCTAATATCAGCTAATGTTTAATAAGATTTGCATCCAGATCTAAACAAGCTCATTTCAAAGTAAATTCTCAAAGTAATAAGGTTGCTTGGGATTGCAGCTTTGGGTTGTATACAATACTGTGCATTCTCTGACTTAAAATGCTGAATCACTTTATAAATTTCCACAATTTTGCACAATATATGTGCAATATACACAATTCAGCTAGTCACAGGGAAAGCAAGAAACTTTGCAAGACCCTGAAATCTAGATCAGGTACCAGGCTTGGGTGACCCATCGGTGCTCTTGATGGACAGCCATGGTGCTGATGCAGATTCCCTGTCTTGTGCTCCGATTGGGTCCTTCTGGCACCAATTGGACCACCCCTGTGGGCTTACCCAACAGCACCAACACTCTTACTTGGGGAGCAAAAGTGTCTACTAGTTTGAATTTGTGCCTGGTGGTCACCATTTAAAATTCCCTACACTGCAACACTCCAGAGCACCTGGCAAATTCTGCACCGTTGCATTATGAGAAATATAAAATGGCAGCTGCCCAGTACTGATCAGAATCAAACAAATGCCCACCTCTCCTAGGAAACCCACCATCACCAATACAATCGCTTAAGTGGCATTGGCACTAATCGGTGACACGTACTGCATGAGGTCCAGGCAAGGTAAACATCAGCACCACTGGTCTCTCCCACAGTGTATAAGCCCCAGTATCTGCCCAAGTGTGCTGGATGTTGACTCGTTAATTGAATCTGTTAGTTGAATCTGGCCTATTATGTAGAAGAAGCCTGTAAAATTATAGAATTTGTTGTTTATTGTGCTGGATATAGGTCAGAGTGTTGGTCTCTCTGCTACATGGAAAACACCCCTTCACACAGTAAACTGGCACATTAAGAACAATCATCTAAATTTCTCCCTGTACAAGATTTTATTTTTTGTTTGTCATGCAGGCGGATGAATGGTTTTAAATATATATATAAAGAGAGGAGCACTCAAAAATATGACTCCAGCTGCAGTTTGAAATCATAGAATCCACCACAGTCTGCATCAGCCTTCCCTAACATGGCGCTATTCATGTTTTGGACAACTTTCGTGAGGAATGTGTTAGAAACAGATTTCACACTGAAAACCTGCTTAACTAACGGCTTGAGCTTGATGTAGAACCACTGTGCAGCACTTAACTGGAGCACAACAGCTGAAGTAGAACCTGTTCTAATCAAAATAAAACTGCTGAAGCAACTTGCCAACTTCTGAAAGGCTTTTTCCCAGCAGTCTCGCTATCATTGCAAGGAACTACTAGCCAGAACTCTACCTATCCATCATCTAATGCCTGAATGTCCCCTGAGGGACTTTTGAAAGAAACATCTAAGCATTTAATGTGGCGCATGACACAATTAGGTCAAATATTATAAGGTCAATTCAACTGAGCTTGACTATGCTTAGAAGTACAGTACTGTAAATAAATGGTGAATTTCGAGAATGTCTAAAACTTACAGTGAATCAGATCTGGTTGGAAGTAGTTCTGACTTTAAATGTAATAAAGAGGTCCCAGGGGAATTCAAAGGCCACTTAGGCATTCATTTATGGTAAAAAAAGAAAAAAGTGCAGCATTTCATGTGCAATCAACACGGATGTCTTAATGTAAGTAACAAAAAGCAAGGAGACAGCCACAAGGAGCTAAAGAGGATTTCAACAAACTAGTTGCATTCCCCTCCATTTAATACAGGATGTGGGAAAGCAAACCACATGAGTAAGAAGCAAGTAAATTATGTTGTCCTCCCTTACAATACTGTGGTTACATTTCCTGAAAATATGCTCCTATTCAGTCAGTTTCTCAGACCGTGCTTGATGAACATTTGTCCTGGATAACAAAATGCAATTATCTGAGAGGAATTGAGCTTAGGAACTAAATAGGACACTGCAGATTCTGTTATGCCAAACTCCAGGTTCTTCATTATGGGTGTCTATACCTTTGTATCAGTAAGTGTACAGTCATACCTCGGGTTACAGATGCTTCAGGTTGCGTGTTTTCTGGTTGCGCACTGTGCTGAACCCGGAAGTACTGGAATGGGTTACTTCCAGGTTTCGGTGCTCGCACATGCGCAGAAGCCCCAAATTGCGACCTGCGCATGCGCAGACTGTGGGTCTGTGGGTTGTTCACTGTGGGTTGCGAACACGCCTCCCGCACAGATCATGTTTGCAACCCTGTATGTGTAAAACCACATGATGCAAATTTCTTTGTTAACATGAACATGGAGCAACAGCTGGTCTCTGACATGTCAGCAGATTTGCATGTTTTACTGACACTCCCATTAATCATCACATACCCATGCAGTGGCACCTGTGTTTCAACAGCTCAACTCAGATGCACAAACATGGTGCAGTCTGAATGTCTAGAAAGGTGACTCGGAAACTACAACTAGTCCAGAATGCGGCATCTAGACTGATGACTGGGAGTGGCCGCCAGGACCATATCACATCTTCATTGGCTCCCAGTATGTTTCCGAGCACAATTCCAAGTGTTGGTGCAGACCTTTAAAGCCCTACATGGTCTCAGCCCTGTACACCTGAGGGAGCGTCTCCACTCCCACTGTCTAGCTCCGAGGACCTTCTGGCAGTTCCCTCACTGTGAGAATGAAGTTACAGGGAACCAGGCGGAAGGCCTTCTCAGTAGTGGCACTCGCTCTGTGGAACTCCCTCCTGTCAGATGTCAAACAGATAAACAACTATATGATTTTTTAGAACACATCTGAAGGCAGCCCGGTATAGGGAAGTTTTAAATATTTGGTGTTTTATTGTGTTTTTATATTCTGCTGCCCAGATTGGCTGGGGCAACCCAGTCAGATGGGTGGAAGAATGAGAATGATAATGATTGATAATATTAGGTGTTATGCAAACTAACAAAAGATGTTCATGGACTTGGAATTCCAAAATGTAGGGCACATTCATATTGTTCAGTTAAGGTGTCCTGTTTCCTCCCCCAATTACATCAGAAGAGCTAAGCCAGGAGCAGCTAGAAGAGCCATGGCATTCTTTCTTGTGAAGAAAGAGATGGGCAGCCAGAGTGGAATCCAATGTACCACTAAATCTCTTAAAACTTGTACATACAAGAGCTGCCTAGAAGCGAGAAACATTTACATTTGGAGTAGGACAGAAGCTGACTGCTTTTGCTCAAAAGCCATCCCACTTGATTTCAATGGCACTTACTCCCCAGAATTGTGAACAAAATTAAATTCAATCCCAGCTGTCTTTACTCAAAATGTTACTGATTTTAGTAGGTGTTAAATGCTATAAACACTTGGCTAGGTGTATCTAGGTGGGATTGTTTTTTTTTTAGAAAATGAGAATTTTACAAAGGGCAAATAATGAGCCTACAATTGGTTTTTAAGATCCATGAAAATGCCATTGCCTTTTTCAATCAGTTTAACATCTTAAAATGAAAAACCTCTGGAAGATAAATGTACAGAACATGAATGATGATTCTCTTACACTGTCCTTCATTCCTTTTAACAGAAATAGTTCCTAGAGATCTGCGAATGAAAGACAAGTTTTTAAACCATTTAACAGGTAAGCAGAATTTAACATTCTAACATGGTACTTTTGTCCGTAATTATCCTCTTATGCTACTAATTCAACTGATCCGCTGCTTCTTTTCTCCCACAGGTCATCTTTATTTTGGTCCAAAATGCACTAAACACTTTCATAGACTTTACCATCATACAAGAGACTGCACCATTCCTGCATGTAAGTGCTATCACCCAAGAATCCATTGCCAGACATTTAATTTAGTTGCATTTAATAAAGAGCTGTCTTCCAATGCAATTATTATTCAGTTTATTTAAGGAGTTTGTGGAATTACAGTAATTAAAGAGACTGCTGTATAGTGAGACTCAAATGTAAATATTCAGGGATGTACTCAACTCGCTTTTACTCAAGAGTATATGCACTGAAGCAATGGACAAAAGCTAGTCATGGTTATTAATTTCAATGGGTTAGTTGAAGACAACCAGCAGTACCTATAAGTGTGAACTATGAGTTTCATCTTAAATTTCTTAAGCATAGGGCAACATCCAGCATCATGTGAGCAGACTTCTCCCTATAGATCTGCTTCATAGGGTCTTCCAACCACCCAGGGCAGACGTTGGGAGTTTGCAAGTGGGAGAACCCATTCTGTCAACAGCAGTCATTCTGCTGGCAGACAGACACTGTTGGATTTCACCCACAGAGTTGCAACCAACAGAACAATATTTTAAGTGCTATTGCTGTGACTCCTGCAAGAGGTCTCATGGCTTTAGCTATCAACTTAAAACGTACTTTTCGCAGGCAGCTCAAATTTGTATGCCAATTATCTGTCAACTCCTTTGCCTTTGGTTTGCAATATAGTAACTTGGAACTTAATAGTACATCAGATAACAGACATTAAAGAATAAAATCTGGGTTTGCAACACTGGGATATATATATATATATATATATAGAGAGAGAGAGAGAGAGAGAGAGAGAGAGAGATGCACAAGCAGTTAAGAAGTTGTTTAACTGGCAGAAGTCACAGCTGACAGCAATGCCACACTTATTAAAATGATGCATTTCCTTACATTCCAGGGATTGCCCAAAGCCAAAATCGCATATACAGTGGTGCCTTGCAAGACGAAATTAATTCGTTCTGCAAGTTTTTTCGTCTTGCGAATTTTTCATCTTGCGAAGCACGGTTTCCCATAGGAATGCATGTATTAACGGTTTTAAGAAAAAGGAAACAAACTTGCAAGACGTTTTCGTCTTGCGAAGCAAGCCCATAGGGAAATTTGTCTTGCGAAGCAACTCAAAAAACGAAAAACTCTTTCGTCTTGCGAGTTTTTCATCTTGCGAGGCATTCGTCTTGCGAGGTACCACTGTATTCAAAACACACTGGGTTCAATGGTGGGTGGGATTGCCAAAGTCATTTCTCCAAGAGCCCTGGCCCCTTTTTATTTTTCATCATGCATGTAAAGCTGAATGTGCACAAGTTAAATGCCTGTAAATTGCGGGCTTACTGTATACCCATAATCCAAGAGCCTAAGAATGATAACTATGACTCTTAACTATTGTGTTTGGGTTCTCTCCCCCCCCCAACCTATGCACACCATTTTGAGGAAAAAAAATTATATAGTTATGAGGCAACACTAATTGAACAGTTCCCATCCAGCTGGTTTTACCCTGTTGCACGTCACTGCTTGGGCTGCTGATTAGTTTCTCAACAGATAGTCCTCTCAACAGATAGCTGATAGCTTATATGAGTGTGATATAGGGAGGAGTACTTAATGGTGCATCTTTAATGTCTGTTCCCCCAGTAGCCTTAGCCTGACTTGGCAGCCATTTAAATACCTTGACTCACATTTTGATTGTTTATTCTTGGCAACTGTGCATAAAAAAAAACTACTTGCATGTGCAAGTCAGACACATGTCATTTGCTGTATTAGAGAAAATTACTAATTCTATTGCCAATCACAGAAGAATTAATTCCCTTGCTAGATTAACTGTGTTTTTGTAGTATCCAAAAACCATAACAGCAGGGCTTTTACACACACATTAATGGTTTGGCCTTCAAAGTAGGTTGCAGAACGATTTAAGTCAAATGTGAAGGCTCCCAAAATAGTTTCTTTTCAGGTTGTAGTTCACATAAAATTTACCTGAATGAATTTTGCAGGTATACATCTTTCATAAGCTTAGTAGTTTGATAAGCAGCCTAAAAGTTTGATCCTTGCCATTAGATTTTACGAAGTCTAGAGGTTTCACAAATTGCTCACCTTCAGACAGTATTATGAACAAGCCTTTTCTCTGCACATGCAGTCTCTGTATGCAAGGCTCTAATTAACCAGTTTTCCATTTCATACTATGCTCACCAACTTTGGAACAAGTCATGATATTAAGCCATGGTTTGAAGCTGAGATAATATCCTACCTCAGATGAAATGAGAAAGTGCAGTTAACTGAAGACTTTCTGATGTGCTTGCTCACATCAGAAATGGAGGAGCAAAGGGCCCGTATGCATAGATCAAATCCTTGCTCATATCTTGCCTTATTAACCTAGAGATATGATTATCTTACTGTGGCCATTTCATTGTCCCATATTCAAGCTTTCCACCAAGTGTACATGTCATATGAGCTGGGACCAATCCTGACTGATTATACAGTAGCAGATACAGTAGCAGATACAAGTTGGCAATATTCACATTATTACATTTTTGTACACACAACTAAAATGTAATCTGTGGCTCAAATAAAGGGCAAGAAATTCAAACTGAAGATGAACAGTGCTCTAGTTTTTATCCCCTTCAAGTTTTCAGCTTCAGATTATTATCAGTCTTTGCTAGTTCATTGTTAGTAGAAAATGAGAATTTTCATTTTATGGAACGAACACCACAATTTTATTTGCTATCCTGCATACCTAAGCTGTCCAGGCATGCATTGCAGCTATTTCTCCTGTGCATGTTCATAGCCATGGGAGCGAACTGTTTACATGTGCACGTCTGTTTCTTCTTGAGAGGTGCTTTCTTCCAGGCCAGTCTGCATAGCATTATACATGCAAAAGCATATAAAATCCCTTTAAAAACTAAAAAAACCCTCATTTATACAGCCAGATTTCTAAGCAAAGAATTCAAACTTATAACTTAAAAATAAATGGTTTCAAAATGAATTGCAACAGGCTTGCAGTTCCTTGTATAACCTTACGATAAGGAACTTTAAAAAAAATCAAACCCTCAAGTTATACCGGGTTGTTTGTTAACTTCTATTTATGATCTTTTCACTAGACTATAAAAGATGTGCCAGGCTTCTTACTCGGTTGGCAGTAAGTCCAATGTGCACGGAAGGATAAGGTAAGCTTTTTGAAAGGACCAATTGCACACTGCCTGTATATGCATAGCAACATCACCATTGTGGATTTGATACAATTAATGAGCATTGCGCAATAGCTCTTTTGGAGAAGGTATTCCCCTTTCAGAGAGAATGACACAACACCCTTCACTCGGCAAAATACCAGCCATAAATAAAAGGATACCCCCTACCGGAAAGCAGCATAAAGACTCTCAGACATCAAGGGTGAATTCATAGCTGTATGCAGTTAGCAGATAGTGAAACAAAGCACATCCAGGCACAGCTAATTTTCAGGGGCTGAGTCAGCATCCGTTTCTATGTATTGACACTGGGTCTCTATTTAAAGTTACAGGTTGATTATGCCATATTTGAATGCAGCTTAAAAATATACATGTAGGAGTGATTAATCTATCTATAATACAGTTATAATGTAGTTGAAGCATGAACAAACGTTATGTGCATTCAACTGAATCTGTCTCCAAAACTGCACATTTATATTTCACTGAAATACAGTGGTGCCTCGCAAGACGAAATTAATTCGTTCCGCAAGTTTTTTCTTCTTGCGAGTTTTTCGTCTTGCGATGCACGGTTTCCCATAGGAATGCATTGAAAATCAATTAATGCGTTCCAAGGGAAACCGCCTTCAGACCAGGTCCGGGGACAGTCTCTCCCCCGACCTCTTCTGAAGGCTGGGGGGGGGGGAACAAGGGCTTCTGAAGGCTGGGGGGGCTGGGGGGGAACAAGGGCTTCGCTGCCGACCCCCAGCATTTTAAAATCTCACCGGGACACAGGGAGATTTTAAAATGCCGGGGGTCGGCAGCGAACGCTTCGCTGATCCCGGGACGGCAGGCAGATCTGCACCGCCATCCAGAGCGGGGCGGGACTTAGCGCCCCGCTCGGGATGGCGGCACAGATCTGCCTGCAGTCCCGGGACGGCAGACAGCTCTGCGCTGGCATCCAGAGCGGGGCGGGACTTAGCGCCCCGCTCGGGATGGCGGCACAGATCTGCCTGCAGTCCCGGGACGGCAGACAGCTCTGCGCTGGCATCCAGAGCGGGGCGGGACTTAGCGCCCCGCTCGGGATGGCGGCACAGATCTGCCTGCAGTCCCGGGACGGCAGACAGCTCTGCGCTGGCATCCAGAGCGGGGCGGGACTTAGCGCCCCGCTCGGGATGGCGGCACAGATCTGCCTGCAGTCCCGGGACAGCAGACAGCTCTGCGCCGCCATCCCGAGCGGGGCGGGACTTAGCACCCCGCTCGGGATGGTGGCGCAGATCTGCCTGCAATCCCGCGACTGCAGGCAGCTTTGCGCGGCCATCTGGAGCGGGGCGGGCTTCGCCCCCGGCTCCCGATGGCCGCGCAGAGCTGCGCTGATCCCGGGACGGCAGACAGCTCTGCGCCGCCATCCCGAGCGGGGCGGGACTTAGCACCCCGCTCGGGATGGTGGCGCAGATCTGCCTGCAATCCCGCGACTGCAGGCAGCTTTGCGCGGCCATCTGGAGCGGGGCGGGCTTCGCCCCCGGCTCCCGATGGCCGCGCAGAGCTGCGCTGATCCCGGGACGGCAGACAGCTCTGCGCCGCCATCCCGAGCGGGGCGGGACTTAGCACCCCGCTCGGGATGGTGGCGCAGATCTGCCTGCAATCCCGCGACTGCAGGCAGCTTTGCGCGGCCATCTGGAGCGGGGCGGGCACCCCGCTCGGGGATGGTGGCGCAGATCTGCCTGCAATCCCGCGACTGCAGGCAGCTTTGCGCGGCCATCTGGAGCGGGGTGGGCTTCGCCCCCGGCTCCCGATGGCCGCGCAGAGCTGCGCTGATCCCGGGACGGCAGACAGCTCTGCACCGCCATCCCGAGCGGGGCGGGACTTAGCGCCCCGCTCGGGATGGTGGCGATCTGCCTGCAGTCCCGCGACTGCAGGCAGCTTTGCGCGGCCATCTGGAGCGGGGCGGGACTTCTCTGCTGTCCCGGGGAGATTTTAAAATGCTGGGGGTCGGCAGCGAACGCTTCGCTCCCGCCCGCCAGCATTTTAAGATCGCCCGGGGCAGCGGAGAAGTCTCCGCTGTCCCGGGAAGGCAGGCGGGGGGGAGCAAAGACTTTTGCCCCCCGCCGGCCTTCAGAAGAGGTCCAGGACCTCTTCTGAAGGCCGGCTGTGGGCGAAAGTCTTTGCTCCCGACCGCCAGCAATTTAAAACAGGTCCCCGGAGATTTCCCTATGGGCTTTCGTCTTGCGAAGCAAGCCCATAGGGAAATTCGTCTTGCGAAGCGCCTCCGAAACAGAAAACCCTTTCGTCTTGCGGGTTTTCCGTCTTGCGAGGCATTCGTCTTGCGGGGTACCACTGTACCAACTTAACAACAGTAAGCAATATCAAGAATCAAAACCAATTCATTTCTCTTGGAATCAACACTGAGATTGAGATCCTTTTCAGCCCTTGTGGTCAGGGATGATGGGAATTGTATTCCCAAAACATCTGGAGGGCCGAGTTTGGGGGTGGCTGTCATATAAGAATGATTGCCACAAGTAGGGAAATCAGTGTATTTAAGAAGAAGTAAAAATATAGCGTAGGCCTTGGAGTATCCAAGAGCTGGTGCTCATGAACTGTGAAGGCTTTATCTCACTTACCTAAATCCCCAACCCTTGACAGCAAATGGTAACCGACCAAGAGTTTTGTATGCCAGATTGTGCAGCAAAAAGTGAAATATTTTGCTCACTTGAAAACCGAGAAACTAATATTTTGTGGTGGGCGGTGTTGTCTTGTCTTTGCTTCAGATGTTACTACTATCAAGGGAAAAAGCTATTATCAACAACCAAGAGAAGTGCCTTGGAAACCAACAGGGAAATTGAACTTACCATCTTTGTAACATATTCCATTGTGAACAAGAGATTTATTTTTGCAAGTTGATAGACTACTTCCCATAAAATCTTTAAAACATGTGTTTTCTATTCTGTCACCACTGTTTACAGATACATTTTTTTCTGGTAGTTTTTCCACCATAACAATTTAAAATGTTTCATACTTTAAGGCCACCCTATATCAGAAGTGTTGCATTGCCAAAAAATTCAGTGAATTATCAACCTCCCAAGTAAGAACATGTTTCATTTAGAGACGTCATGGGACACTTTCAAGGAAGCCTTCCTGTGGAGAAGGTTACATTTCTTGCTTATGGAATTCAAAGTGTTTGGTTACAAATGTTTCATAAATCTGTTATGGTGTACTCTTACTGAGTGCAAACTGCATGCCACGTGGAAGAGACAAACATGTTTTAAGTAAAACTTGGATTCTGCATCCACTAAAATGCCATCTGTTTCCTGTACAATAGAGGTATGAACATTCCAGCTAAATGTGCAATATGTAAATACTGTAAATAACATACATAATAAAGTGTTGGGTTTATAACTTGGCTCTTCATCATTCTTCTTCTTCCTACTTGTAGTAGGGAAAGAGCTGCACTAGACCAAAGACATCAAATTCCTTTTCAAAGTGGGGATGTTTTGTGTGATGAGAGATGGAACATGCCCCAAGGTGGGCTTCATGTGGGCTAACAGCATCCTTGCAATCAGTTCATTCAGAATGATAACCCACCCATGACTCTACTTGCCTGTGCAACCACCTTTCCCATCCTGCCAAGTCACCATTATCAGGGCTTCTTAAAATAGCCATCTCTATTCAATTCAATACTGTAGCTATAATTAATGGAAATAAGGTAAATGTTGCTCTTGTCCCTCCCCTCTAAGTGTTGCATTGGGGTCCAGTCAATATGAAACATTCATTTCCATATACCTGCAAACACCTGAAGGTTTTTCCTTTAAATAAAAGTTTGAAAGCAACCACAGAAAAGTGTTCTATGTGTATCAGGATCAGAGATTCAGATGGGCGCTTGTATTTAACGCAACACAACCAACACAAAGTGTACTCAAAGTAATTAGCTACATTATGAAACTAAGGCAATCAAAACATTACCAGGATCAATACAGCTAAGCTGATCTTTTTCCTATTTTATTTGCTCTTGTATTTTCAAGTCAAGTAGTATGGCAGTTAACTTTAGTACGGCTGTAAACTTTACAGGAATAAAACTTAACATTTTTATTAAAACAAAAATATATTCCTAGCAGCACTTGAGCATAGCCTATTAAAATAAATTATAGCTATTTGCCTCTGAATTTCCTATGACATTTTAAATCAATAGCTATGGAGTTTTGCACGCAATGGAATTCAACTAGGTGCATTTTAAATCCAGCAGGGATGTTATTTGGGGGGAATGGGAAAGGTACCCAAAATATGGATCTAATCTGAAAGAACACTATTCCTGCTTTAAAGAAAAAAATGTAAAAATTGTCCAGTAGCTACTGGACAATTTTTTAATTTATTTCGACTGCGCCGGACCAACACAGCTACCTACCTGAATCTAGATGCTTTAAAGAAAGTTTGCCCTCAACACTCAGTAAACGTGTAGTATTATCTAGTAGCACCATTAAACCTCCCTGCCCATGCTAGTCCTTAACCAGGAACACATGCCAGTCCAGCAGCACCAACAGGAAGCTGATTCATGCTGCTCCAAGATCTACAAGATCTTCCCATATAAACCAACCTGGACTCTGCATTCATCATCTGAGGCCCTTCTTGCTGTGCCTTCTCCACATGAGGTCCAGAGGGTGGCAACATGAAAACTGGCCTTTTCTGCAGTGGGTCCCTATTTGTGGAATGATCTCCCCAGGGAGTTTTGTCTGGCACCTTCTTTCTATATCTTTAAGTGCCAGGCGAAAAACGTTCCTCTTCAATCAGGCCTTTGGCTGTTTAATATTCCACAGCCTTTTAAATGTGTCTGTGGGAGGGGGCTATTGTTTTGCTGTTGCTAACTATTTATTTGCGTTTTAATCTCACGAACAGCCCTGAAATCTTATGATGGCGGGTGGTATATAAATCTAATAAATAAGATAAACTAATAAATAAATATTGCGAATGTGCTTGGGACATGAGAAGCAGTAGGCGAGAGGGGAAATGTTAATGTCTTAATGTGTACACACAGTGCAAAATACTCCAATAACCACTGTTTATAGCAACACTCAGCCAAAGGAATTATTATGACAACTTCCTATTTTCTTGTCTGCAGCTTGTATTTATTAATTCTGCTAAGTGGGAAGATAAAGATCTTGGCAAACATTTTTTATAATTGGCTGTTTAAAAGATAAGACAGCCTACCATGCATTATTACGCTGCAGGGCTTGACACCAAGCAATAGACCAGGAATAGCTCACACATTCAAATATTTACAAATAGACATTTATTCATGTCAACGCCCTTCAGCATGTGCTTCATGTTATATGTTGAGCTATTTATTACCCGGAGGAGTTTTGCACTCAGTAGTGTCCTTTACTAGTAGCAGTAAAGCACATTTGTGGCACGCTATGAATTTTGCTGTTTGCTTCTGGGTAGCAGCAGCTTTTCTTTGGCTCAGTTTTGAAGCAACAATAATGAAATGCTCTTCCAAGAAAGGGAGGTGGGGCAAGAGAGAAGCTAAGCAATGCCAACTCGGGAGTCACGTATTGTCATCATGCCCAGACATTTTAAGGAATAGGCTGGGATCAAGGATTTAGTGATCTTTTCAAATCCCATGGTCTATCTAGCTCTTCTAAGCCAAGTTGCAATCAACTCAGGGAAAGGTATGGCACCACATAAAAGGACTCTACCCATGTGCTCTCTGTACTGCTCTGCATCGTGAGGAACTGAACCTCAAAGAGGTGATAAGAAGGTGAAGGTCCCATGGACGGTTAAGTCCAGTCAAAGGCGACTATGGGGTTGTGGCGCTCATCTCGCTTTCAGGCAGAGGGAGCCGGTGTTTGTCCACAGACAGTTTTCCAGGTCAAGTGGCCAGCATGACTAAACCGCTACTGGCACACAGAGGACTGTGATGAGTGCCAAAGTGCATGGAAACACCATTTACCTTCCCGCCGCAGTGGCACCTATTTATCTACTTGCACTGGCATGCTTTCGAACTGGCACAGTCATGAAAGACAGCTTATTTACAAGAAAGGAGATGGGAGAAGAGTAGTAAAAGCATCCTTTAAACAATTTAGGAAGAGAAGCTCCGAGGGGTATCAGTAACTGGTGAAGCGACTTGAAAGCAAACCACCAAGGAGGATGTGTTTGATATGATGGGAAAGAAAAAACATGATGGAGGCACATAGAAGTTCCAGCATGAGGATATTCAGGAAAGGCATCACAGCTAAGAGACAGGAGGGTTTAGGCACTAAACATATATCACTTTTTAAAAAGTGGCGAATGTGGTTATGATCTACAGAATGTTTACCAGTGGCTGGGGAAACCCAGCCAGATGGGCGGTGTAAAATTATAAAATTATAATGATTATGATTACCATGATAATGTTAAATGAAAATGTCAAAAGGAAATCTCGCTTATAGACCTGTAAGGGAATGCCCATGAAGCAGAAGAGAGCAGTCCTAGTTCTCAATGAGGCAATTACTGGCCTTTTAACTCTTCTCTTCAGACATTTCTCATCTATAGCCAGGGCTGTGTATGTTGTTGTTGTTGTTTAGTCATGTCCGACTCTTCGTGACCCCATGGACCAGAGCACGCCAGGCACTCCTGTCTTCCACTGCCTCCCGCAGTTTGGTCAAACTCATGTTAGTAGCTTCGAGAACACTGTCCAAGCATCTCGTCCTCTATCGTCCCCTTCTCCTTGTGCCCTCCATCTTTCCCAACATCAGGGTCTTTTCCAGGGAGTCTACTCTTCTCATGAGGTGGCCAAAGTATTGGAGCCTCAGCTTCAGGATCTGTCCTTCCAGTAAGCACTCAGGGCTGATTTCCTTCAGAATGGATAGGTTTGGTCTTCTTGCAGTCCATGGGACTCTCAAGAGTCTCCTCTAGCACCATAATTCAAAAGCAGGGCTGTGTATACTTATGATTAAAAAGAAGGTAATGCCTAAATTCTGTTGTGTGGAAATTAACACAGTTGTAGTTTGTATATGTTAGGGCAAGTGAAGCATATTTAATTAATTTACTCGGCTTCCGTTAGTACACATGATCTGCAAATAACACTTTGTGCCATGCACACTGCTCCAAGACTTCACAAGGCTGTATTTATCCTCTTTCAAGCATCATCTCAGCAGCTACTGAAGGCTAGATTTTGTTTGAATAATTAGAAAAAAAGAGAGACCAAGACTCTAGGTGACTGTACTATGCATCAAGACACCACACAATGAACTTATTCTGTGGTTATGCAGACTTGTTAAATTCATACAGCTCAACAACTCTATATGGCTGTAAGTCTCTCTCTCTTTCAAATCACAAATAATGGAAAAAGTAAAGAGAGACTGTTTTGTTAAGTCTTCAGTTCTTAATCATGTGACAAAACATCCAAAAGATACTTCTAAGATGTTTAAGGTTAGAAAGTACCATACATACGAGTAGCAATGGAAAACAGACATAGGTGTATTATATTTAGAGTATGCATACAGGAATTCTTTTACATATTATGTGGAATATGTATACCAAGAATCACACACATTTATTTTGTCAGAACTGGATGCTTTCCCCCTTATATAGATGCTTGATCAAGGTCAATATTAATTTTATAAGCCTACCATTTCTCAAGTACAAGGTGCAGTGCACATCATGAAATTAAGTATGCTAAAAAAGGACTTATTTTTAGAATCTTTACAATTTAATATCAATTAAGAATAATTTTACAGAACAGCTAAATATTATTTGCTTTCAGAAACACTTGTCTCATTAATGAGGTTTCTCCAAAAATGCTTTACAGCATCTAAGGCACTGTTGATAAACAGTTTCAAAATCTTCATCAGTCCCCTATAGAAAGAAGCAGAGACAAAAAATAAAATGAATCAATTTAAGTTACAGATTTCTTTATTACAACACTGATTGCTACAACACTGATTTTGAGTTAAAAAGGACTAATAGAATTGAATACTTACATAGTACGGATCTTCAATAATAAGCTGCTTTTGTGGATCATAGCTTCCAAGCAGCTCAATCTGAGATTTGCAGTTTTGAACACTATTGCTTTTTCTTTTCAGATCTCTACAAGACAAAAGTTTAGGCAACTTTTTGTCATTAAGTGTGGCATGTCTTTTTATTTTTTCCTTGACACTAAGATGTCCTTAGAGTTTGCAGTGCATAAAGGAAACAAAAATCACAGTGTATAAAGAAAAAACCCACACATTTTTAACAGTGTGATGTGATTTAGTATGCAGCATCAAACACTCATATCTTTATGTAATGTTGCACCCAAGTATAAGTGCAAGTTATGGAATACCAACACTATGGAGCCAAAAATACTAATGAGAGGCTCAGGAAATATATGCAACAATTTCAGAACATTGACTTGAAATAACACCTGGATCCACCAGAAATAAAGATTTCATACAGCAGCCTGTTCTCCTCTTGCAGAGTAATCCTGGCAATCATTTGCTCAAATGAGGAATAGATTACTATAATGCAAAAGGTACAATGCTATTCCTGTCTGTTCCCTGACTATTCCTAGGGATCATTATCCTTTAGACCCAGAATGGGGAACCTGTGGTCCTCCAGCTGTGTTTGAATTAAACCCCCATCATCTCTATGCATTGGCCATGCTGGCCAGAGCTGAGGGTAGTTCAATAACATCTGGAATTTAATCTGCTTCCCTCCCCATGTTTTACACGAACGGTGTAGTGGGAATATTCTTTAAGGGCTTTAGCGTCTATTAGGAGGCACTAAATGTAGCAAACAACCCATTTAGGCTAGAATAATCAGAACTATCATCATCTATAAGCAAAAAGCACATCGTTTTCACAACTTACCGCAAGTTACTTTCATCCATACAAAGCATATAATCAAACGTCAGGAAATCATCTTTTGTAACCTAGAATTTAACAAATATGTTTAAACACTGTTAACAGAGATCCATGTCACAACAATTCTTAATTAAAAAAAATGCAAAATAAGGTTAAGCCAGTGTTGCAGTGATGGCAGTTAGCAATACATATTTAAAATTCTAAAGCCAAACAACATTTATGTATGCAAACTGACAGCTGCAAAGTAAGCAGCTCAGAAATCAATTGTAGAAAAATAAAACTGGAGACAGAACAATTAGTGTTTTAGCGTATGGCCAGGGAACATTTACACAAGTTATTGTTCATATTATCTCTCAAAAATTAAACACTGTTGAGAAATTCTGGGATAAGGCTGTAATGATTACGACGTAAAAGTATTGTTCAACAATGCGCTCTTCCAAAGATGCCATCAGTTCTTCTTTTGAACTGTGATAACATTCAGAGCACATTTTGATGTGTTGAAAACAACAGATGTGAACTATACCATTTAAGCTTTCCTTGTTAAGCTTTTAAATATTGGGGGGGGGGGGGAGGATCAAGATATCAAAAAAAATAGAAGAAAAAGCAGAAGGCAGGCAGAACTGTTTGAGTGTTGAGAGGCTCTAATCTATGCTGAGTTCTATGGGTTTTACATGAAGTGGACTAAAGGGAGTTTAAGGTCAAAAAGGGCACCAGTGAAGCTAAAAGAACAACATTAAAAAGATCTGTAAATGGGGAAAACAACTAAAGCAAGACCTCACGAAAGGAAAGAAAAAGTCAGAAGGGAATATGTGACACATCCTTTGTCTAACAGAAATGCTGCAGTTATGAATCCATCTAAAGAAGGTCAGGTCTTAAAGGAATTTTGATAAATTATGTGCATTTATTTTAACAACTGAGACACTGAAATCAATATCATTTAGCCATCTCTTATATCCTACAATTGTCTACTGGAGCAGAGTTGCTTAAGTTCTGAACCAGGAACAGTTGTCACAATGGAGGGAAGCTAACAGTGAGTCTCTATTGGGATTGGTGTGATTTAACTTGTTTATTAATGAACTGCAGCCAGGGGTGAGAAGTCCAAGCCTGCAATCAACACCAAACTCTTTAGTACAGTGTACCTCGGGTTAAGAACTTAATTCGTTCTGGAGGTCCGTTCTTAACCTGAAACTGTTCTTAACCTGAGGTACCACTTTAGCTAATGGGGCCTCCCACTCCTGCCACAGCACAATTACGGTTCTCATCCTGAAGCAAAGTTCTTAACCCGAGGTACTATTTCAGGGTTAGCGGAGTCTGTAACCTGAAGCGTCTGTAACCAGAGATACCACTGTACTATGAAAAGCCAAATGCAATATGACTCAAAAAGATCTCTTTAAACTGGAGGAATGGGCAACAAAATGGCAAACTAGGTTCATGGCAAGTGATTCACCTTGACTAGCAAAGAAATAAAATAGTAATATTCCTAACCACTGAAATCATTTCAGTCAGGGAACAGCGTTAACAGGCTCTGGAACACGGCTTCATCCAACCACATTACACAGATGCTGTTAGAATTTCCACTGCTCTAACCATGATGACACTGAGTAGTTAAACATTTAATACTTTGCCAATCCATGCGCAATCCATTCTACAGCAGTTACCAAGACTTCCGCACCACTCATAGTTTCCAGAAAACAACGAACAGACTCTTTCTACCTGTTGTGCTTTATGGCCCGTCTGAATGTCATGATTTCTCAGACAACTTAAAGCCCTCGCATCTGGGGAGCGCCCCACATTCCAGTCAGAAACAGCACCGCTGTCTATCACCCACTGTGAACAACAAGAACATATGCATACAGACAGTGAAAGCAATATGGGTACAGTACCTGCCTGGCAATATGATTCATGGTAACACCATGTTTCCTCATGCAATTCTGGCCTCGATAATCTGGAGGATTTCCTACTTCATACGTAGACGTTGCTGCACTGTCTATCCTCCACTACAGAAAAACAAGTCAAAATATAATAATAATCTTTATTGCGGTCCAAAAATCCATAACACAGATTCAGAATAAAATGCAGATTCATACAGACAACCCCCCGGCAGAGGGAGACCGAGACGATATTTGTTTAGTCTTACGTATGATGATCTTCGATACGTATGACTACCGAAAGAAACTTTGCCACGGCCACTGTGATACCATTATACTTGTCCAGAAGATATTTAGTATACTAGGTTTCAGATTTACCCGGCCGATTTGCCAGTAAGGGTTTAATCAATAGATCCCTAGCTTGCTCATATTGTCCGCAATGCAGTAGCATATGCCTCATACAATTGATGTCCTGAGAGCATACACAGAGCCTATTCTGATAAGGGATGCCTCTCAGTCTGCCATTTAGCACTTCTGATGGAAATACATTTAATCTGGCTTTGGTAAAGAGATGCTGATAAATTGGTACACAAAGATTTCTAAGATATGCAGGTAAGCTCAAAATATTTATATCATGCTAACAGAATGGCGGCTTTGGCGGCTAAAATAAAACTTACCTTGTTTTCAATGTTTCCCTCAGTCACAAGTTTCCTAAAAACAGCTTCGGCTATGGGAGAGCGGCAAATGTTCCCTGTGGAAATAAAGATTTGATCCAGTGACTTTAAAATGTAATCTCTCACACCTGTGTTCTTAAGGTGAAACATTCCAGAACCTGTGGAGGTACATGTGAAGTACTGAAGAAAGCCACAGAGTTCATCTGCTCCCCGTTCTATGCAGTTTCTCATCAGTGTTCACTTCCTGACTTCCACATCTGGCTTGTGAGAAGCCCATTATTGTTCACCAACAGCAACCAACTTTTAGCAGAGGTGGATTGTTGCAAGTCATTACACACCAGTATTCTATGGGCTTTATTGGTTTTCAGTAGCATTGCTGACAATGTATTGTTACAGATTGAATTCTACATCCCCAAAAGACAATTTCACCAACACATTCCATTGAAATCACCAGCATTTCCAGATTTTAAGCCTAGTTCCTAAGACACCTAGTGAAATCACAGCCTATGACCTGCAGACTTTTCCACTGAGTAACAACTACCTGCTTTGACTCAAGCTACAAGTACACTGTAATGCAGTCTTTAACTTCATTCTAGTAAAATACAAGCTGGGGCTCAACAAGGAGATACAAGGAATTACATGGGGGAGGTATTAACTCATTTCTGCCCCATCTCCTTTCCCTACAAAATAAATCTTATATCTGAAACCATGGAGTTGTTTACTTGGGAGTAAGTCATATTTTGTTTAATATGATTTGTTCCCCTGAGTAGACACAGATAGAATTGTGCTACAAGACGAACTACGGGCCAACCTTCTCCTTGCACCTCAACATAATGGGTATAAAAGTGGGGTTGCCTGACTCAGTGTTTGCATTGGGAAGGGGTCATTAATGGATAATCCCTCTTCTGATACTGAAATAGTAAAGGTAGGATTACTATTTGGTTTCAGTCTGTTCATCACTCTGCAGCAATGCAACTTCCAATGACAATATGCGCACATTCTCATTTTGGCTGACAATGGTCTACAGTGCAACTTTAACGTAGCTACTAAGCAAATACAGTGGTACCTCGGGTTAAGTACATAATTCGTTCCGGAGGTCCGTGCCTAACCTGAAACTGTTCTTAACCTGAAGCACCACTTTAGCTAATGGGGCCTCCTGCTGCTGCCGCGCCACCGGAGCCCGATTTCTGTTCTCATCCTGAAGCAAAGTTCTTAACCTGAAGCACTATTTCTGGGTTAGTGGAGTCTGTAACCTGAAGCGTATGTAACCCGAGATACCACTGTAATAACTATCTACTGGGATCAAAATTAGACCAAGAGTGAGTGTCTATCTATCCAGCATCCTTTTCACACAACAGCCAACCAAATGTTCCCAGGAAGCACATAAGCAGGACTTGACAGCACCTTCCCTCTCGAGTATTCTGCCTCCTCCAGCTGCTAGTACGGTATTTAGAGATACACTAACAGCTTCGCTCTCCTTTGCTAGAAGAGGAATAGATGAGGCAGAGAAGGGAGAACCCCACCAGCAAAGAGTGTTGGTGGGGTGTTCACAGCCAAATTTCAATACTGATCCTCAAATGGAAGATAGAGGCTACTGCCAGCAGGAACTCACAAAATGTGTGCCAGTGCAGGATTCACTGGCTCTTCAGCTGGCTCTGATGTCATCAGTTGATGGCCATGGGCTCAGCCTAGTATCTGGTGTAGATACTAGGGACTTTTTCATGTTGCCCCAATGTGAGTGGTGGGGCTGTGGATGCAGTGGTGTACACACTGCTGCATCAACTCTAGCTGTTGCCGGTCAGGAGTTTTAGTTCAGCTCTAGATGCGTCTTCCATGTCCAGTCATGGCTGAAGCTCTTGATGAACCAATCCTTCATGAATATGTCTGAACTCCTTTTAAAGTTATCCCTGTCCAATGGCCAAAACCACACATTGTGGCAGCAAAGTAAGTTAACTATGTGTCGCACAAATAGGTATAGTCTTCTAACTGTGTCCAATCTACTGCCAATCAATTTAATTGAGTAACACCCAACTTCCAAGCAGTGTTCGAAACTCCCATTGCTCTAGGTGCATTTTGCGACAGGGAATTTCATTAGCGTGAGCAGCTTCTGAGCTCTAGGCGCAGTACTGCACCCATGATTTCAGATTAAAACTGCAGAGTGTAAGGAAAGGAGGAGCTTTTTCTGCCTCCCCACTTCCAGCTACTCTCTGAAGACTGGAGAAGAGACCCTCTTAAGAATATTAGGGGGTTGGGCAGGGGAAGGATGGACCATGTGGAAAATGAAAATAATATTTTAGCTGCAGTTCATTCATTTTCAGTTTTGTCTCGTTATTAAAAAGTGTGCCTAGACATTCTGTTGTTGCACCCATAACCTGGGTTTAAGGTGCCATTTAGCTCCTAGTTTTCATATCTCAGTTTCTAACACTGCTTCTAAGTGTTGAAGGAGAGAGAGAGAGAGAGAGAGAGCTCTATCTACAGTCTCCACACCATGCTGCCGGACCCTAGTCTAATCCTAGTTGAACACTGTTTCCAAAAGCAACCAGCCAGGATTAAAAGCAGGATTCCTAAATGTAGACAGAGAAAAAGTGTATCACTATCATTTGTTTAGAGATTTTAAGAGACGTCATCCGCTCTCTCAGCTGCAGCACCTCCATCATCACAATTTAATCAAGCAAAAAGGTTTCATAAAGTGATATCTCATCTTCTACTTCACATGTGGGCAAAGGAATGAGATATATCAGGAATAATCCACTGAATGATTGTTGTGAATGCCTCACTGAAACATAGTCCAGGCTGTACAACTATGGACAGGGCCCATTTTTACCAATTGATACATGTTTCAAAATAGTCATTTCAGGTTTCTCTTGCCCCCAAAGCAATGAGGCTGGACAGAGTAACAGCAATCTAATAAACAGGCTGTAGCTTCCATAAAATTTCTCTCCTGCTTTCACTTTGCAGAGTAGTTTCAGTGCCGGCTATTAGGGAAAGGTTCATCCATTTCTTCCAGAGGATTTTTTGACTGAATACCAGGAGCAGGCAACCTGGGCTGTAATCGGCTCCTATCAACATCTGGTGGCCCCTAAAACCCCAAATGATTTGGCTTCCCTTTTTTAAATAGAAGTATTATTCTTTAAATATTGTTCTCAGCAGGTGACACTTTTGAACCCCAGGACTACACTGGTTAAATGGAGAGGTTTCAACTTGTCCAATCTAAGAAACAGGGTGAAGAGCCAATGTCACCTCTTTTTACCTTTGTAAAAGAACCTCTCTTTCTCTTTCTTTCTTTCTTTCTTTCTTTCTCTTTCTCTCTCTCTCTCTCTGGCATGGAACCGTTTCTAGAAAGTCAGCACCAGGGACTTAGGAAACAGGACATTCTCAAAACAATGCCACACCAGAGAGAGAGAGAAAGAGAGAGAGAGAGAGAGATTATCTCTCTCTAAGACCTCCTAATAATGACAGCATGCCTGTGGGAGAATTTTTTGCCAAGATAAAGAGATGCTTTATTTTCGCTCCCCAGGGCAGCACTGGGGCAGATGGAGTCCTTCCTACACCAGTGATGCCCTAGGGACCAACAGGAATATTAAAGCAAAGCTATGCACTTTGGAGTAAGCCCCATAATTCAGTGGTACTTCTGAGCAAATGTAGCAGCATACAGCCTTCATTTCTGTTGTCACCCTTCCCATTTATTTCTCACATGTACTGTACACCACAAGAGATCCACAGACATGTTACTCTTCAAGTATTAAGTAACTTATAGTCTCCTATGTAAAGAATATCCACTACTCCTATTACAAACCAAAAGCAGAGGCTAAGTGATATTTGACCAGCTTTATATTTTGCAAATCAATGTAAACATAGGACATGTACCGGTGAAATAAAAGCTGAAGACTTAATACCTTCCCATTCCTCAGTGGAACGATACTTTGCAGATAAATTGCAGGCACATGCTATGCAGGCACTGGTGTCTCCAGCTTTGTTTGCTCTCTCCCTCCTCTGTCCTAACCAATAAGAAATGAAGATAAGCCCTCACACACTTGGGCCCACTGCTACCACAGGGATGTAGGGTGGCACCCTCTGCTGCCATGAGGAGGCCTGGCAAGGCTCTCTGCTGCTGCGAGGAAGTGTGCTGCACCCTCCACCACTGCAGGGAGGTATGGTGGGACCCTCTGCCCTCGTGGGGGGCAGCAAGGCCCTCCGCCACCGCAGATATATATCGTGATATATCAAGATATCATATTTAGCTGGTGATATATTGTGATGTTGAAAACAAGGTATCACCCAGCCCTAGTATCCAAGTTGTATCTTACCTTCCCAACTCAGCCATTCCTCAGGGGAGGTGATGGTGGTGGGAAACCACTAAACTCACCAATGCCCCTTCCCATTACTAGGATAAACATAGTTCTGCCAGTGCCACAAAGGAAGGTGGAAGATCTGAACCAGGAGATCATCAGAAAGTAGGGTTGCCACCTGTCCTGTATAATACAGGATTGTTCCGCATTTCAGTGTAAAATGCTGAGTCCTGTATTGACAGATTTGTCCTGTATTTCAGGACTTCTCTCTCTCTGCCAAGTTACAGACCCCTCCAAACGCATGAGTAATAGATTACCACTGTATTATAAAGCCAGGGGGAGGTGGTGTTATGTAAAACAGTCTCCTTCCATCACCACAGAGAGCACGGCAGCTTCTGTCCTACTTCAAATGTAAATGTTTCTCGCTTCTAGGCAGCTCTTGTATGTACAAGTTTTAAGAGATTTAGTGGTAACACTGGATTCCACTCTGGCTGCCCATCTCTTTCTTCACAAGTAAGAATGCCGTGGCTCTTCTAGCTGCTCCTGGCTTAGCTCTTCTGATATACAGTGGTACCTCGGGTTAAGTACTTAATTCGTTCTTAACCTAAAACTGTTCTTAACCTGAAGCACCACTTTAGCTAATGGGGCCTCCTGCTGCCGCTGCGCCGCTGCTGTGCGATTTCTGTTTTCATCCTGAAGCAAAGTTCTTAACCCCGAGGTACTATTTCTGGGTTAGCGGAGTCTGTAACCTGAAGCGTATGTAACCCGAGGTACCACTGTAATTGGGGGAGGAAACAGGGCAGCTTAAAGATAGAGAACTGAATAATATGAACGTGCAGCACATTTTTGTATTCCAAGTCCATGAACATATTTTGTTAGCTTGCATAACACTTCCTATTATTATTATTATTATTATTATTATTATTATTATTACCACTACTACAACTACCCACTCTGGGCGGTTTCCAACACATAGAAAAGCATAATAATGAAACCCCATGCATTTTATTTTTATTTTAAAAAGCTGCGTCTTTACCTCCCCCATTCTCCACCACCCCCTTTCCACTCACCCAGGCAAACGAATAAAACGGACTTAGCTTCCCCGGCCGCCATGCTCTCTCTTTCTCTCTCCTTCTTTCAGAAACCGCCAACAGGAAAATGAGGCGAAAGAGGCAGTTCGGAGGCCCTCGCAACTGTCGCGAAAAGCCGCCCTTCCCGCTTTACGGCAGCCGACGGCCGTCTTCGTATAATGCCTGAGTGGCGGGGGGGGGGGAGGGCGAAATGTGAAGGATACGAAATAAAGTTGAAATCATTTTTATTTTTTTAATTCCCTTTCAGGAGTTGACGGCCCCGAGCTCTCTTTCGCGGCTTCGATTCCAACGTTAGATAAAGAAAATCAGGCGCGTGGTTTAGACGACTATCGCGCCTCACGCCCGCCCATGCACCTGCTCCAGGTGAGCAGCAGCTGCCTCTTACGAGGCGGGGTCTTTAGAGTGGAACGCAGGGATAGTTTCTGTCGCGAGTGGTTGGCTGCATTGCTGTAGATACTCCCGAGGCTTTCCCAAGCCAGGGGTGGGTGTGGATGGTACCTTCCTGGAAGCAGTAAGTATGTTTGCTTGGTGTGGATATGAGGGAGGTGGGAATTTGGAAGGTGGGGGGGGGGGAGAGTGGAAACTGAGTTTTTGGAAAAAGTCTTGCCCATATTTATTCCCCAAGGTTCCCTAGTTCTTCCCTGTCTAGTTCTATAAGTCCAGTTTTTTCCCCACATGAGGGGCTTGCAAATCTTTAAAAGAGTGGCTGGGGAACCTAGCCAGATGCACGGGGTATAAATAATAAATCATTATTTAAAAAGAGTGAAACAGGTCCACTGATAAATTAATAGGACTGCACTAGTGTAAGTCACAGACTCGGAGTCCAGTTTTTGTTTTATGTTTGTTTTATGTTTCTTGTTCAGTCAAAGATGATTGTAATGTGTAATGGTATATTTATATGGAATATAGTCCCATACACACACACACACACACACAGGAAGCGGTCCACAAATCCCAGTCAGGTGGGCAGGGTACTGCATTATTATTATTATTATCATAATAATAAATAGGTGCAAACTAGCCAAAATTCCCATTTATGTTGTATTAACATGTGTGTTATTATAGTCCGATTTTTATTCCCAGTTAGATGGGTGGGTTACAAATAATGTTGTTGTTGTTGTTGGACTGAATAGGTGCAAGCTAGCCAAAATCCCCATTTATGTTTCATTAATATGTGTTATTATATTCCTATTTTTATTCTCAGTCAGATGGGTGGGATACAAATATTATTATTATTATTATTATTATTATTATTATTATTATTATTGGACACCTCTGCAACGGCCTCTTGTTGAATAGGAGGGACTGCTGGTCTCCTCCCACCTTTGTTACCGATGTAGATCTTTATTCTTCTGCTCGTTGCTGATGGGTAGATCTTCACTCACCCCTTATTCCCTGGTGGAGGGTGCTGTTTTGTGGCCCACTCAGGTGCCAAAATGTCTTGGGGCAGGCCTGATTCCAGCATCCCATTCTCTCAGTGGCCAGCCCCTAAGACATAAACACAGGACCTCGGTCGCAAAAACCAGCGTGGACACATTTACGAAGAATAATAGGACATTAGATAATGATACAGTAGCATCTCGCCACTTGCCACACTTCCTTCTATTGACATGGCAGATAGTCTGACAATTACCGGTAGTGGCTAGCAGAAGCTAATGGAGGGTTAAATCACTGCTACAATAAAGTCATGAATTTCTCCATTCTGCTGTGACCAGCTATAGGGTTTTTTTGCCAGTGACAAAAGAGTTTGCCATGGTGTCAAAAGTAACCAGGAAATCCATCCAAAGGAAGTGTTCTAAATCACTGTGCCTGCACTCACTTATTTTCCTCTGCATGTACCTTGGGACCTAGAAGGGTGAT